GAACAGTAAATAAACAAACAACAACAACAAAAAAACCTTAAAAACTTAAAAAAAGAATAGGGATTTATTTAGCTCATGGTTTTGAAGGTCCGAGGTCAAGGGCTCACATTCAGTGAGGGTATTCTCATGGCGGGGACTCTCTAGAGTGATTCCTGAGGTGGCACAGGACATCACAGAGCAGGTCCCTGTTTCCATTCTACTAATTTGGACAAATGTATGATGTGTGTCTATCATTGTCGTGTTTTACAGAATAGTTTCACTGCCCTAAAAATTCCTTCCCTTTGGCTTTTAGCTTGGTTATTCTTGCTATTTCCAAGATACAACCCCAAATCCATAACCTGAATTTTTAAATTCCTATCTTTAATTTTCCCAAAACAGCCACTTGGTGGTGCCTAAATCAATACGCATATACCTCTTGGGAGGAGACATACACGTGAAAGCACCTGGGTAGAAAAATACTGGAGAGAAATATTGAATCTTCATGTGTATAGCGACGCGTCTCACCTGCAACCAGCATGACCCTAGAATATCTGGAAAGGTGTGGTGAAGATACCAACCAGCGCCACTGGGTCCATGTGAATTGGATGTCAGACACTTGGCAGATATGTGTCTCCTCTTAAGGGAAAGTGTGTTTATAGGGTGAGTGGAGTTCTTCTGTTGCAAAAAGCTCTTTATCATGTTGCAAAGACATGAATGCAACACGCCATTTGTTCTGGCCTAGAGAATGCCTTCCACCCACCTACTGACCAAGGTCCATTTTTTAAATTTAAATTTTTATTTTTTTTTTAGATTTTTCCATGGGCTGCTTGTGCTTGGGGCTGGGGAGGGGGGTGTTGTGTGGAATGGCTGGGAAAGTGAGAAAGCACCCCCTAGGGCAATGACCAATCACCCCCTAGGACAATGCCCACACCACAATCCCTTCTTCATTCTCCTCTAGGGATTTTGAGCATGTACACACATGTGCTTGGTGTGTTTTTTAAGCCACTGGATCTGGAACTCGAGCCAAGGAGTCAACCATATGGGATCCAGCACCTTAACCTTATGCCACTGGCTGGCCTCAGCCAGTGCTCATTTTATGTAACAAGCCTTCTTAGTTACCAAGCAGGTACTGGAGTTATTTTTAAATTTCACTGCTCATATCTCTATGTTTCACAGACTTGGAAAATGTGAAACAGATCAATAGAATTGTCCAAACCAAATTGGCTCATCTGGTAGTAGAACTGGAATGTCTTGGTCTTCCTTCTCTTTCACACCCATGAAAATTCATTTTTCTGCCCAAGAAAACACTGAATCTCTATGAAATAACTCCTGGCAGGCCCGTGCACCTTAATGTCATATCCCTGAGAGAAGATTCTGCTTGGGTGACCATATATCCTAGGTTTCCCAAGACAGTTCTGGTTTATGCTTATTGTTCTAACATGCTTATCCGTACCCACTCCCTTGCCCCATTCCACTCTCTGATGTGTTCCAGTTTTGATGATCAATCATGTGGTCATCTTCACTCTAGGGTGTTACATTCCGATATTTCCACTTTTATCAAAAATCCAGATGGGCTTTCCAGTGCTCTTATCAGCGAGTTGCCACTATCTTGTACCTGACTCTTCACTGAGGGCTCATGCCATGAATTGCAAACCCAGACAAAGAAAACTAGCATCAAATCCCAGTGGAAGGACACTTGTCCAGTCTACTCCTCATCAGACATAGATGCTAGGGTACTCAAATTAGTACCAAATAATTGTACTCGGGGATCCAAATTAATTTGGTAGCCCAAAGTAAGACTCTTAAATAGTATTAATTACTGGTTATTTACAACTCAAACTCAGGCCAGCCTGTGACATGGTAATTAAATGAGCTGGATCCCACATGGCTGACATGTGGATGGAGTCCCAGGCTCAGAGACTTGAGAAACACACCAGTGTGTGTGTGTGTGTGTGTGTGTGTGTGTGTGTGTGCGCGCGCGCGCACGCATGCGCACTCCAAATCCTGAAAGTAGGATAACACAAAAAAAGACCTTGATTGTGGTGTGACCATGTCCAGTAAGGGGCAGGAAGGGAACTTTCTCTCTATATATATCTGTCTGTCTGGTGAGTACACACACACCCCTCTGGCAAAACTTTTTTTAAAAAATTAAAACCAAAAACTTGAAGGGCCAAGCAATGGTGCAGTGGTAGAATGCAATGCTCTGAAGGTAACCCACTTGGGAAAGTTGCTTGTGCTCATGATCCAAGCTAACTGAAGGTGGAGGTAGAATATGGAATCAAGATCCTATTTGGGAGGACCAGCAGACAGCATAATGGCTATGTCGCTGGACTCCCACATAGTCAACCCCGGTTCTAGTTCCAGACTAGGTGCATGAGCTTGTATGCCCAAAATTCTGAGAGGAGAATGGAGGAGAAAGGATTGTGGCATGGCCATCTCCCTGGGGGGTGGGGAGGTGTGATTTCTCACTTTATGTCTCTCTCTGTCTCTCCAGTGAGCACACGCTCTCTATAGCAAAAATCTCTTTGTGCTTGGGGCTGGGGAGGGGGTGTTGTGTGGAATGGCTGGGAAAGTGAGAAATCACCCCCTAGGGCAATGACCAATCACCCCCTAGGACAATGCCCACACCACAATCCCTTCTTCATTCTCCTCTAGGGATTTTGAGCATGTACACACATGTGCTTGGTGTGTTTTTTAAGCCACTGGATCTGGAACTCGAGCCAAGGAGTCAACCATATGGGATCCAGCACCTTAACCTTATGCCACTGGCTGGCCTCAGCCAGTGCTCATTTTATGTAACAAGCCTTCTTAGTTACCAAGCAGGTACTGGAGTTATTTTTAAATTTCACTGCTCATATCTCTATGTTTCACAGACTTGGAAAATGTGAAACAGATCAATAGAATTGTCCAAACCAAATTGGCTCATCTGGTAGTAGAACTGGAATGTCTTGGTCTTCCTTCTCTTTCACACCCATGAAAATTCATTTTTCTGCCCAAGAAAACACTGAATCTCTATGAAATAACTCCTGGCAGGCCCGTGCACCTTAATGTCATATCCCTGAGAGAAGATTCTGCTTGGGTGACCATATATCCTAGGTTTCCCAAGACAGTTCTGGTTTATGCTTATTGTTCTAACATGCTTATCCGTACCCACTCCCTTGCCCCATTCCACTCTCTGATGTGTTCCAGTTTTGATGATCAATCATGTGGTCATCTTCACTCTAGGGTGTTACATTCCGATATTTCCACTTTTATCAAAAATCCAGATGGGCTTTCCAGTGCTCTTATCAGCGAGTTGCCACTATCTTGTACCTGACTCTTCACTGAGGGCTCATGCCATGAATTGCAAACCCAGACAAAGAAAACTAGCATCAAATCCCAGTGGAAGGACACTTGTCCAGTCTACTCCTCATCAGACATAGATGCTAGGGTACTCAAATTAGTACCAAATAATTGTACTCGGGGATCCAAATTAATTTGGTAGCCCAAAGTAAGACTCTTAAATAGTATTAATTACTGGTTATTTACAACTCAAACTCAGGCCAGCCTGTGACATGGTAATTAAATGAGCTGGATCCCACATGGCTGACATGTGGATGGAGTCCCAGGCTCAGAGACTTGAGAAACACACCAGTGTGTGTGTGTGTGTGTGTGTGTGTGTGTGTGTGCGCGCGCGCGCGCACGCATGCGCACTCCAAATCCTGAAAGTAGGATAACACAAAAAAAGACCTTGATTGTGGTGTGACCATGTCCAGTAAGGGGCAGGAAGGGAACTTTCTCTCTATATATATCTGTCTGTCTGGTGAGTACACACACACCCCTCTGGCAAAACTTTTTTTAAAAAATTAAAACCAAAAACTTGAAGGGCCAAGCAATGGTGCAGTGGTAGAATGCAATGCTCTGAAGGTAACCCACTTGGGAAAGTTGCTTGTGCTCATGATCCAAGCTAACTGAAGGTGGAGGTAGAATATGGAATCAAGATCCTATTTGGGAGGACCAGCAGACAGCATAATGGCTATGTCGCTGGACTCCCACATAGTCAACCCCGGTTCTAGTTCCAGACTAGGTGCATGAGCTTGTATGCCCAAAATTCTGAGAGGAGAATGGAGGAGAAAGGATTGTGGCATGGCCATCTCCCTGGGGGGTGGGGAGGTGTGATTTCTCACTTTATGTCTCTCTCTGTCTCTCCAGTGAGCACACGCTCTCTATAGCAAAAATCTCTCTCTCAAAAAAAAAATCTATTTGGGATTTCAGGCCACTGAGGCTGGGACCTGAACCATGGGTCAGCCATGTAGGATTTGGCTACCTTAACCATCAGACCATGGAGCCAGCCCAGCCTCAATTTAAAACATAATAAAACAAAAAATATTTTGGGGAGGGAATAATGAGCTCATTTTTATATGTGACTGGACGAGTAACTGGTGCTCCAAGAGCCTTCCATGATGGTCTGCTTTTTTTTTTATCATTAACTCATTGACATCACACAATTTTCCCACCTTTCCTGAGCTTTAGTTTCCTCATCCATAAGTTTAAGTTATCACAAGAATTAAAAATAAAATAGATACAATAGTTTGACATATAATTCTGTGTTTAATCGATGATTTTCTGCTGCTATGACAGCAGAATATCACCGACTAGGTAACTTATAAAGTATAGATGTTTATTTGGTTTTGGAGGGTGGGAAGACCAAGAACATGGCGCTGGCATCTGGTAAGATGCTGTGCTATCCCATGACAAAAGGAGGAAGAACATGACAGCAAAACAAGAGAAAAAAGGGCTCTGAACTTTGATAAATGGCCTACTCTTATAACAGCATTAATCCATTCATGACAGGAAAGCCCTCCTGATGCAATCACCCCTTGAAGGTCCCACTTGTTAATACCATCACAATGGCAAACTTCAACATGAGTTTTGGAGAAGACATTCAAACCATTGCAACATTGTTACTAGCCACTGGGGAATGGAGCTGACTATGCTGCTAGTAACTCAGACTGTGGACCTGAATGTCATTGCTTTTCCATATACCTCTACTTTGGGAATGAGAACCTGAAACATTACAACAATGCAGGTAAGAATGGACAGAAATGTCAGTTTCTCTTAATAAGTAATAACTGACTAAGTTTATGTATGTGTGTGTGGGGGATTTCATCATTCCTGAGGCATAAATTTGGATTTAATAATATGTATATATCATGGGTGTGATCATAGCCGGAACACACACATTGCCAAATTTTCATAGGAATTTTTCCCCTCTAACTAGGATGCACAGATCAGACCTTCCTCCAGCTTTTAGACCAAACCCATTTGTCAAGGACTCTGAGATCTTCTCAAATAAGACATCCTCCCCACACCCAAATACAGGAGTTGGGAAGGTACAGAACAGGAAGTGCTTCACTTTGAAGAGGATTAGGAAGGGGGAGAAGTGTGTGCTCTGCTAGAGCAGTCAATCTCATTGATTCACATGGAACATTCTTTCCAGAGCTCGAAACTATAGGGAAGCCTTCCTTCTCTTCTTGAACAGCAGTCCACAGCTGAGCACTCCCAGAAAGGCAAGCGGAAATCAAATCCGCTGAGATTTTAAAGAGGTGGACTTAGAATATTTAACACCCAGAATGGGTCATTTTTAACATCTTCCCCCCACTATAAAACAAAATTAACTTACAATTATAATTATGTAATAATCACTTTCTTGATTCAGTCTACAGTTTCATGACCCAATTTAAAAGAGTACATTTCAGTGTTAATATTATTCAAATGTAGTTAACATATCACTTATCAACTAAATTTGCACTTTGACAATAAAAGATATTAATCTCACAGTTCTTGCTCTGTTTTACTGTTCTAAATTTTAAACACAAAAACTTCCAACTTTTATCACAAAGAATGACAAAAGTAATAACTGAAGATCTACGCCTTGATCTTTACAATCACTGTTTTTATGGTTTACTTTGGATCTACTATTCAAACATCAGGATTGGAGACAGCTGTTGCTCAGAGAGCAAACCCCAGGCTTGAAATGTTCCTGAACCAAAAGGAACTTAACGCTGGAATAAAAATGCATGTAGCTGAGTGCACCAGTAAGAGCTTCTGTACAACAGGGAGTTCTCTGAATTAATTTCCAGACAGAATACAATTAATGTATTAGTGGATGAGTAAGAAAATGGGGCCAGATAGTGGTGCAGTATTAATGCAATGCTCTGAACCTGATCCATATGGGAAGGTTGAGGGTTCGTGTCTGGAGACCTCCCTCTATACACCAGGCTCGTGTGGCAATAATCCAGGCTGGCTGATGCTGGAAGTGGATTGTGGCAGGGGTACTCAGGTATATGTGTCTCACTCTGTGTGTGTATCTCTCCTGCTCATGGAAGAAATAAAATCAAAAAATTAAAAAAAAATTTTTTTAAGCCAGCAGGTGGCGTGGTGGTTAAGGTGTTGGACTTTCATATGGTTTACTGCAGTTTGAGTCCTGGACCTGGGAGGTTGCATTCTCCCTTTCTCTCCCTCTCTCTGGTGAGCACACATGCCCTGTAGCAAATTAAAAATTAAATAATGACAAAATTAAATAATTCATTCTACAAATTTTTAAAAGAAAATGTACCAGATCAAAGATTATAATCTATTGATAAATGCAAAGGTATCTGCAGAAATTATTATCATTAATTTTTTTTTACACGGATTTTTGCCATAGGGTGTGTGTGCTCACCAGAGAGACAGAGAGAGACAGAAAGCAAGAAAGTACTCCCTGGGGGGATGGCCATGCCACAACCTCTTTATCTCCATTCTCCTCTCAGGATTTTGGGCATGTGTGCACACTTACCCAGCCTGAATTTTAAGCTGCTGGGTCTGGGACTCAAACCACAGTCGATTTTGTGTGAATTCAGTACCATAACTATTATACCATCTGCTGATCCCCCTGCAGAAATTATTTAGAAATTCAAACAATAAAAGATTCATTTTATGGATGGTACTTTATCACTGATATTATTCAGAATTTCTGACACATAATAGTGTCAAATATTGACCTGATTTTCAGTCATTTGTTTATTGTGTTTAAATTCTCTACAAATGCTGTATCCCTGTGGTCTGTCTGCTCCACAGGCAGGTGGCCTCCCTGCACCCCTGTCCTTCTTGGCCAACACCACCAAGTTATACTGTCTATACTTTACAAATTGCTTTAATTTAAATTAACAGTCTTGAATTTGAGTGTTTTTATTTTTAGGTGGAGGATTTCTCAAAGATTATGGGGAAAACAAATGGGAAGTCAGCTAAGTCCTTTTTCTTGGACATCAATATTGAAGATTTTAAAAATTTTTATTTATTTATTCCATGAGCAAGACAGGGTAGCACCCTCAATGGGGTCTCGATGCTATTATCCAACCCCAGATCATGGGACCATGCCCTGCACACTCAGGGAGGTGTCCTCATGCCAACTCAGAGTATCTCATTTCACCGCCCTCTGGCCCTCAGTGCTTAGGGTTTTGAGAGCATGGTTTACATGCTGAGGGTTTGGGGGAAATCTTGACAGAAGCTTCGGGGCCAGCAGTTAGTGTAATGGCTATGTCGCTGGACTCCCTCGCGGTTCGCATCCTGGCTTAAACTACCACTGCTCGCGTGGCCGTGTGTGCCCAAGATCCCAAAAGGAGAATGGAGGAGAAGGGATTGCGGCATGGCCATACTCCCTGTGAGATGATTTCTCGCTTTCTGTCTCTCTGTCTCTCTCTGTCTGTTTGGCGAGAGCACGCGCCCTATAGCAAAAACCTCTCCCCCCCCAAAAAAAAAACAAAAACAAAAAAACAACTTTTTTAAGTTCCAAGCTAGTTTTTGGTGCCCTCTAATGGACAATTTCGAAATGGAAAAATAAAGGACTATAAGTTAATAATAGTTTACATACTTTTTTTTTTTTCTTTTTCCAAGTGCCAGAGGGAGCATGCACTCATCAGGGAGAGACAGAGAGGCAGAGAGGTGGGGGTGGGGAGAAGCACTCTCCAACGGGGCATGCTTAGGCCTCGTCCCTTCTACAAATCTCCATCCTGTTGGGATTCTGGGAGTGCATATACCTGCACCCAGCATGTTTTTCAAGCTGCCAGCCAGGATTCAGACCACTGTGTTAGCTACTGTGGGATCTAGCTCTCTTAACTACTAAGCTATGGGACCAGTCTCTGCCAGACATTTTGAGACAGGATGTATACCTCAACCCATGATGAGATTTCCAGATCAGATATGTATTTTTTTATTTTACTCTTATTTATTCATTCATTTATTTTAATTTGACTAGAGAGAGACACAGAGAGAGAGAGAGAGAGAGAGAGAGAGAGAGGAAGCAAGCCACCAGAGCTGGTACTCAAACCGTGGTCGGCCATGAAGGAGTGTCCAGCACGCGTTAATCACCACTCAACCCGCTGGCCCTCAGACATGTATTTTCAATATGTCTTTACTTTTGCATCTCATGTCACAACAGATAATTGTTTTGACACTGCACTTTACAAACAAAGACTGGCTGATTTGCAAAAAGGAATCACAATTATTATGTTCCTTTACAATCTATCATTTATACTGGTATCTTGATCCCTACTCAGATTAAGGCATTTTTTTCTCTTTCTCCTATCACATGAACGCAGTTGACTCTATTAATGAACACGAGCTTTCACCCCTCTGTCCTGCTATTCCTCAGTTTTCTAAATCTCTATTCTCAAAAGTGGCTCCTATCTTCTGACTTTCTTTTTTTTAATCTACATTGTTAAAAAACAAAATTTTAGACAAACCAAAATTTAATAGAGTTTATTTGAATAACGGGTGGTTTCAAATCAGGCAGTTTCTCAGAAAATGGTTTCCGAGGAATTCTGGGTAGCCACGTGGTCACGGGTTATATGAGGAATATAGAAGGTATTGAGGAAAGGGACAGTGACGTGTCCAGGAAAGGGACAAGGATGCATAAAAACGAAAGTGAGAAAATGGGGTAGAACAATAACCGAATTGGTTATAGCTGGAATGGTAGGTTGCATGAACAGCCTAAAAGGCAGGCTTTCTGTGATTGAAGTGTGACTTATGTGATTGACTGTAACTTAGCAACTAGCTAAGGAAAACAGCCTAACATATACTATTTCCACTTATCCTTAAAAATCCAAGTGTGAGAGTACAGTGGCTGCTTTAGGCCAAAATAGTTTAACAAAATGTATTCATTATAAGTAGAGCCAAGCAACCATTTTCTTATGTCTTCCAGTATAAATCTACCTGTTTTAAAATAGGGTTTAATACTAGAAAATATGGTGTATGTGAGGCCAGCAGATCAGAAAACAGTTGCCATCAGAAAGATAGATTATGGGACCAGCAGATGGCGGAATGGTTATGTTGCTGGACTCCCATGTTGTCAACTGCTGTTGGAGTCCCAGACTTGGCAGCTTGAAACTCACGCCAGGTGTGTGTGTGTGTGTGTGTGTGTGTGTGTGTGTGTGTGTGTCCAAGATCCCAAGAGAAGAATGGAGAAGGATTGCGGTGTGGCCATCCCCCATTGTGTGTGTGTGTGGGGGGGGATTTTCTCGCTTTCTATCTCTCTGTCTCTCTGGCAGGTGCACACGCCCCTATTGCAAAAATCTCTCTAAAAAGAAAGAGGAAAAAGAGGAAGGGAAAGAAGGAAATGAAAGAAAAAGAAAGAAAAGGAAAAGAAAGGAAAGGAAAGGAAGGAAAGGACAGAGGAGATGAGAGGAGAGAAAAGAAAAGAAAAGAAAAGAGAAGAGAAGAGAAGAGAAGAGAAGAGAAGAGAAGAGAAGAGAAGAAAGGAAAGGAGAAGAGAAGAGAAGAGAAGAGAAGAGAAGAGAAGAGAAGAGAAGAGAAGAGAAGAGAAGAGAAGAGAAGAGAAGAGAAGAGAAGAGAAGAGGGAAAGAGAACAAGGCTGGCTCTAGTGATGGTCCCAGGCCTAATTTTATGTTACACCAGGACTTTCTTTGGTACCAGGCAGCCCAATTCCCTTGGTTGAGTGAAACTTCAAAACATGCATGTTTTTAAACTTTGTTTTAAATTTTGCCAGATTGCACGTACACTCACTGGAAAGAGACAATGAGGAAGGAAAAG